AGCACCTGGACCTTGACAGCACGTGCTCTGCAAGGGACCTGAGAGTGAGTCAGTCCTTGCTGGGTAGAAAGGAGGGATAGAAAACACATCACTTGGACACCTGGTTTCCCAGTGTTGTGCTTTCTTCTCCTGCCTCCATCAGCTTCTGCCTGGCTCTGGACAGGCTCTGGCAACACGTGTGACCATCCCTCCAGTGGGACCAGTGGCTGTGCCTGCCCTGTGCTGCTGAGCTGGGACTGGGCACCCTCTGCACCTCCTCTTTTGCTGAGACCTCCCAAGCCACCTGTGAACAGCTCCACAATGCCACAGCACCCCCAGGCTGGCCCATGTGGCACAGAGCTGGGGCAGCTGGCACAGAGCCATGGGCAGCTGGCACAGCCCGCGCATCTCCAGCCCCAAACCCACATACACCAACTCTGCACTGAACCCTGTGGGTCCAAGGACCTCTGTGGTGTCCCCAGCTGCTCCAGGGACACTGCTGAGCTGAAGGGAAATCTGCTTGTCAGGATGGAGGGGTGAGATCCCCCCAGCACAGCACGGACAGACACCGCAGCCCCCAGAGCTCTGCACACTCAGCCTCACTGAATCCCCCCTCCCCAAACACACCCCCACCCACAGCTGAGGGAGCAGTCGGACCAGGGACCAGCAGAATCACTGCTCTCCAGACTTACAGCAAACACAGCATAAGCAACAGAGTAACCAGATGTTCTTTTTCATTCTTTTCTTGCATAAAGCAAATATACAGATAGACAGCACAGCAACTGCCGGGGACAGCATGTACCGGGTACAGGCATCTAAAACACACACACACTGAAATGATGTTTGGTTTAGTGAGACCCACAGAACTACAGAATGGTTGGGCTGGAAGGGACCTCAAAGCTCAGCCAGTTCCACGGGCAGGGACAGCTCCCTCAGAGCAGTCACCAGTCACCTCCGGCAGCGTGAGGGCACGGGCACGACGAGCACAGACTGCACACCTTCTGCCTCCAATATTCTCCTTATAAAACAGAAGCTAATGCTCTGGTTCCAGGCTCCAGCTGTGCCCTCGGAAAAGATCGGAAAGTCAGCGAAGCAGAACTTTGGCGTCTCACAGCCTGCAAAGTTTTCAGTGCACTCACAGAACGCGGGGGCGAGTCCCGTCTCTCAGCCGGTCCCAGGCCGGGATGTCCCCGAGCAGCTCCGGGGGCACTCCCAGCACCCTCCGGCTCCTCGGGCAGCTGCCCTGGGCTGCCCTGGGCTGTCCGGGGCTCTGTCCGCTCAGCGGCGGTGGCAGCGGGGAGGGAAGGAGAGCAAACAGTGGGCTGGGCTATCCCATTATCTCACCAGTCAATCATTAACGACGGCGCTGCTGCTGCCCGAGCTCTTGGCCAGCGGCCACGGCTCCCACGTGGGCACGGCTGAAAAATTCCATGAATATGCTGCCAAGGCCATAGAGGAGAGAGCAGGTGAGGCCCCTGCGACCCAACACACTCCTGCACATCCCACCCGGACGGGACGGGACGGGACAGCACCGCTCCAGGAGCATCCCTCACATCCCACTGGGACGGGACAGCACCGCCTCAGGAGCATCCCTCACATCCCACTGGGACGGCACCGCCTCAGGAACATCCCTCACATCCCACCGGGACGGCACCGCCTCAGGAACATCCCTCACATCCCACCGGGACGGCACCGCCTCAGGAACATCCCTCACATCCCACCGGGACGGGACAGCACCGCCTCAGGAACATCCCTCACATCCCACCGGGACGGCACCGCCTCAGGAGCATCCCTCACATCCCACCGGGACGGCACCGCCTCAGGAGCATCCCTCACATCCCACCGGGACAGCACCGCCTCAGGAGCATCCCTCACATCCCACCGGGACGGCTCCGCCCCACTCCCCCCTCGCTGTGCCTTGCCTGTGGTGTCCCCAGCCCGGGGTCACAGAGCACAGGAGCCCTTGCTCTGGGGCAGTCGGGAAGCACTGCTAACAAAAACTAATTAAATCCAACTGAAAGTAGTTAGATTTAATCCAACAAAGTAGTTAGATTTGATTTTCTTAAAAGATTATGCCCTGCTTCCTGAGGGTGAGAGAAAAAGGGTTGTACAGTGGAAGTTAATGCAGCTCAAGGCAACTCTGAAGCTGTGTTTTATACACTGCAGGGGTTTTTTTGTGTGGCCTTTTAATTATTTTTAAGTGTTTTTTCTCATAAAAGAGCACAGAAAGCACACAGATTGAGGCTTTCATCTGATTCGTGTGACTCTGAATCAACTCAAACTCCTGCAATAAATGTTTTCTGCTTCCAAATACATGTGATGAAGCCTCACACAAACATTTTATAATGTCCTTATCCAGTGAGATGAATTCCTGCTACTTCCCAGCTGGGCTTAAAAAATAAGCCGATTTTGTGCCACTATTTTTTCCCCTCAAACTAAGCTGCCAACTGGATAATGCCATGCTCTGTAATTTGTTATGTATTGTCTCTCAAGGGAAAACCGGGCATTCCTCCCACATTTCCTACAGAAATAATCTGCTCACCTGTGGTTATGCTGTTTTCATCTGTTGGAAGGAGAAAAGTGGCCTCCAGTGGGGGACAGGCTGAGCCTGTGGGTTGTGCCTGCCCTCACCCCACTCTCCTGCAAGGTCATGCCAGAGTCATCCCAGAGAGCTTGGAATGGGGTTTAATGCAGGGAATCTGGAGAGGACAGGGATCGTTGTGTTGGGAAAGTCTCAACTCCACATCTCCTGTGCACGAAGAGCCTCTGGAACACCATCCTCTGATGATTCATGTAGTCCATGTTTGAGGTTCTTCTGTGAGCAAACACCCAGGCTCCTCTTCAGAATCCTGCACACAAATAGGCCCTCCCCGAGCCCCATCTTTTTCACCAGCACATAAGGTGGTCAGTAACTTTGCATATGGAAAAGGCTCCTGGGAAGTTACTCAGTAACTAACTCAGGGTTTAGTCATTGCATTAAATCCTGTTTTCACCCAGCAGTGACTTGGTATCTGATCAACTGCTCTGCCACAGGCAGCGAGAGGACGTTTCCAGCAGTGCAAGAAATGAGAAGGAACAAATTCTGCCCACAAAGGCAAAGCTGAGCAATCCTCCTGCCAGGGGGTGAGCAGAGCTGTGCTCTGGGGGCAGAGCTGCCACTCCAGGTGTCCTCCATGGACAGCAACTGCTGTACATCCCTTTTGCCATTGGTCTGTCAGAGGATGGCTGGTTTGGTGCAGCACTGCACACAAACCTAACCTCAGTCCCACAGGAATAATCGAGGTTCCAACACAGCACACGAGAAAACAGGGAAGTCAAAGCCATCGTGTTCCCACCCTGCACCTCAGAGGGTTCATTCACCAGCTCCTGCCTCTCCCTGACCCTGCAGCAAGGCTATTCCCTGCAGACAGTTTGGTTTGGCTCTGGGATTTGCCACAGATCTTTGTAAGGTTTGGCTTTTATATTGGGAGATTTTTAAAAGACATTTCAACACATCAAAATTGAGTGTCCAGACTTTTCCAGACACAGCACAGTGCCTGACTTCTGCCTCTGTGAGAGAACTCTGCAGATATTCAGGTTCAAGAGCCCTTAAATGAAGTGTCTCCTGTATGTAAACTGGGGATCAACAGCACTGTTCTTACCACACTGCTGTCAGGATAAACCCATTAAAAACTGTGGGGCTTTGAAAACAAACCCCTCCTAACCCAAGGGAAGGCTCTGGGACTCACTGAGTGTCATTCCAAGAGGGCTCTGCAGCCACACTCACACATGGAACACTGGGCAGGGCTCCTTTAGGGCCCTACTCTCACAGTAAATCCATGTTTTACAAGTATTAGCAATTAAACCTTCCCACTGCCTTCCCACGAAGCACTGTAGATTTGGGCTGACTAATTGCCCTTTGCTCCATCCTCAGATTCAATCACTGGTAAGATGTTTAATGACTAAAAATGATTGAATGAGATGGGATGGGGACACCCCAAGGAGAGAATTTACAGCTGCTCTTGGCAATTAAAACCACTAGAATGCATTAGTGTCAGAGAACATGACAGAACCACGGCAGAAACCTCACTCTTGTGTCAGCCATGAGCACTCCACCACCCATTCATCAGCTCTAGGAAATAACCAAAGTGTTCTCAGGGGATCTACAAGTCACAAAGCTCACTTAGGTTTGATATTGATAAACTTATGGCAACAATAATAAACAGGGCCAAGAGTAAAAACAAACAGGGGATTTTGTAAAAACAACAGAGCTGAGGTTCATTTCAGTCATCCTTGAGTACCTAAACATTTAGAGTACATTTACATGTTTTCAAACTCTTCTTTGCACCCAGAAATACTAATGTACATGGTGGATTTCTTAATTGAGAACTAAGACTTCCAGCTGGTACTTTCAGAGAGCCATAAAATCTCATGACACTTCCCAGGATATCAGTGGTTGTCATCAGCGTGGCTTTCACTTCCAAGCACTGCCACAGTCCCTGCACAAAACTGCTTGGAACTAGAAAGGAATAATTAGGATTATGGGCCAAAATTTGCCTCTTGATGCTGCTTTACAGATCTTCTGCTCAACCTGCACTGTGCTGGGATGTGCCCTGTACTCACTGCAGCTCCTGAAGGCAGAGCCCTGCAGATCTGGGCAACCCCTGGAGACACCAGTGACTGACACAGCCAGGGCAGGGGCTGCTCCCTGCTCAGCAGCCCCCTGCATTCTGCACAGCCCCTGAGTGCCAGGGAACAGCACCAACAGCCCAGGAACGTGGGCACACTGCAGGGACAGCAGAGAAACGCAACATTCAAATAATTCTCTGTTACCAGAGCCCAAACACAGCAAAGCAGCCACTGGCTGAACCCCCAAGGCAGGATAAGGTAACCCCAGCTCCTGATGTGAGCCCACATGTCCCAGCCCTGCCCTGCTGCCTTCCCAGCCTTTATCCTGAGGGCTGGAAATCACAGTCCCGAGGGGAAGCAACACAAACACAAACGCTGCCCACAGACCCTCCCATCACCCCGAGGGCTGTTACCTTCAGGGGCTGTTTCATTCCTTGGCATCAGCTGGGACACAGATGGCTGTGCAGTCACTCTGCTGCAGAACTAGGTCAGGGCAGCACAGATAGCAAGGAAAAATAAAAATCCTGGGGTTTAGCCACCAAAACCATCCAAGCAACAGCAGCCTAGTGGACAAAACAATATCCCTGAGCAATCTCATCACCCCCAGACTCTGCAGGTACAGCTGCCCTACCCAGTGAGCACCCAGCCAGCAGGGCAGAGGGCTGTGCCATTACACACACACTCATTATTGTTTTACTAGAATCCAATAATTCCTACAGGAGTTAATCCTTCTGCATGACAGTACAGCAAACACAACCAACATTTTTTTACATTGCCCATTATCTAGTTAATTGGTAATAGTTCACAGGAAAAAGGTTACATGAAGTCACTGGTATAGTTCTAAGTCTTACTGTTCGTGGATCAAAGACAGATCCCCGTGTTCCTTCAGTCCCTGCTTGGATACAAAATGTTCTGCAGCCAAAGCAATTTAGAGGAGTTTCCTTTCTCAAGCTCCTTCCAAGGCTGTTTTCCCAGTTCCCAGCACTGTGAGCAGTTGCAAGGAGCAGAGGGAAGCAGCTGTGCTCCAGGGAAAGCACAGTTGCAAAAAATTACCTTAAATTGGTGTGGCTGTGTCAAGTCACCTAAATCTCCCCGGGAGTTTTGGCTCAGTAAGGTTACAGGATTGGTCCCTGGTTAAATATCTAATGGAAGATCTTCAGGTGAGAACAATCAAATCACATCTGAATGCCTCATTAGAAAAGTAAACCAATATTTAGCCAAACAAATTTTGGTTTTCCATCTGAAACCATGCTGTGAGCTCATTTAAATGCTACACCAGCAATGTCTGAGCTCTTTGAAACCACAGGAAAATCTTCAGAGAATATTGTGTCACCCAGCACTGGGACATTGCAGTTTCTGAATCAAGGGGCTGTACCAGCCTGGATAAGTGCTTTTAATTTTGTTCTTTAATACTGTTTCTCAAACCAGTTGAACTTCATTTGGTGTGGCTCACAGATCACCAGTGCCCCCGGGCCTCAGAGTGGGATCTGCTCAAGCCATTTAAATGGAAATGAGTCCAGGTTGCTGCTGGAAGGGAAGGATAGGATAGTCTTCTCCCCACTCTCCCCTGTCCCCACACCAGCTTTGCTGCAGCTCTGCTGAGTGGGTTCAGTTTGCTGAGCTGGCAGAAGTTGATCAGGGTTTTATTTAGTTTTCTGAGGGTTTACTGAGCTGAAAGAGTTAACAGAGGAATTGGGTGAGTGTTGAATCAATGTCAGGACAGAGGAAAGAGGAGAAAGCTGCTGAGCTTCCTTCAGTGTAAAAAGGAGTGTGGGCATGGACCATACAAAGCATCAGGGGCTGTCCCTCCCACCTGGGCTCATGGAGGGGTGTGTGCCTGGGACACGGGTGTGCACCCAAACAGATTTACCAGAAATCTGCTCTGAGTCTGGTACTGATTCCACTCAAACCTATGGCAAAACTCTTTGTTTATATTGGCTAAAGGAAAGAGCATTCACGGAAGAAATGTGGCATTTTGTTTGGGGAATGTGTCATTGACAGAATGCACTTTCATTTTTCCGCAGATATTTATAAAACCAGAATTTAAACACAACTTGTTACTACACTTAAAAAGCACGTTCAGGAGCCACACTTGCAGCCAAGTATTGAGGCGTAGACAGTGCAAATAAACAGCTCCCACAGGAGGGGGGATCTGTTACTTGTAGGAGGCCAGAGGAGAAAGCAGAGAGGGCCCTGGTGGCTCCCCTGGGACAGGGGGGGCCCAGAGCAGCAGTGCCAGCTGCTCCTGCTTTTGTCTTCGGGGTGTGCTCCTCTCTGCACTTGGACAAACAAATGCCAAGGGGGGCTCTGGAGGGCTGTGCTCCCGTTACAGGGCAGGAGCAGGCTCTGCTCCCTCCCAGCACTGCAGGACACTGGGGCTCTGTTACAGGCAGGCTAAATAAATCATGTGGCCATGAGATGTCCTGAGGAAAGGAGCTGTACCCACGCAGAGCAGGCAGCTCTGCCACACTCCCCAACAAACCAGCACAGGCTCAGCCTGCTCTGGCACTGGGGGGTTAAAGGCAAATTCCAGGGCGTCAACAGAGGCACTGACCATGAAGGTCTGGGCTTGGAGGACAGTCCAGCTCAGAATAATGGCTGGGAACAGGAATTTCTTTCTCACGTGCTTTTGTTTTCTGCAGTGGAGCCTCCAAATGTATAAACTCAGCAGGATCTGAACTTCTATCTCTTGGAATGGGGACTGATGGCTCTTGTTGGGGACTCCCATCCCTGGAAGTGTCCAAGGCCAGGTTGGACAGAGCTTGGAGCAACGTGGTCTATGGAAGGTGTCCCTGCCCAGGGTAGGGGGGTGAAACTCGGTGTCTTTAAGGTGCCCTCCAGCCCAAACCATTCTGTGATTCTGTGAATGTGGCTTTCAGAAAAAAGAAAAAAATCAGGCTGTCTCCCAACACAGCTTGAGCACATATTTTCATAAGTAAAAGCAATATTGTTCTAATAATCAAGCACTAAAAAGGGTCTCAGAGGGCTCCAAGCAAACCTGGCTCATTAATCACAGAACTTCACACGTGGTGTTAGTTTGGCCAGGAGTCTGGAAATGCCAGTTAATCATTTAAATTTTGGAGCTTCCCTGGACTTCAGAAGGTATTGGAATGACAGAATAATATCAAAACCATTATACAATTAATATTTTAGGAAGCACACATTTTCTTTATATGAACCATTCCTGCTATAATAAGAACCTTATTCTGGAAGCCATGCACAATGGAGATTTTCCAACAGCTTTTGCAAGAGTTTTCACTGTGAAGAAAACTGAGGAACAAAAATAAAAATGCTTTTCATGTGGTAAAGTTGTAAGAAGTTATTAACAGAAAACAGGAAGCCCAGAAGATGTCAGTTCTGAAATTCCTATGAGTGGATGTACAAGATGCTACAATTGATCTCTGCTTTTTAAATTTGATGTTATATATTAAAAGCAATTTTCCTCAATACAAAATGTGAAATTCTATTAGAGTCATCTAATGATGACAATCCACTAACAAACTTGGAGTTTCTTTTTTATTTAATATGAGGAAATCCTTCTTGTTTTACCAGTCTCTTTCATATAATTTAGGCAGGTATACATATAAATATATCTAGAAGTGCTTTGAACTCAACACTTCTCAGCCCCAGAGCTGAGGAATGCTCCTCAATGGGCAGGTTTGGGGCTGTTCAGCCACACTTGGGCAGTAAGTTAATGGCAGAAGTGGGAGAACAGGCTCTTTATTTGCAGCTCCCTGCTCTACTGAGCAGAGCAGATTTCATGTGAGATAACTGTGCCAGGGCACTTTGGGGGGCACTGCCAGGGGGCAGGTCAGGTTATGGTCACACATTCTTAAGCTCAACAGCCCCAAGAGCACATGCAACATCAAATTCCATTTGTATGCCAGAAGAGGTTCTACTGACCCTCTCAAACCACCCCCCAAGACACCTTGGAGATGCCACCAAAGCAGTTGTACAAACCTTGCTGCTGTCACAGACCTGGGCCTGGACTGAAGGGTCTCCTCAGTGCTGGTGCCTGAGATGTGCTGTGGGGGAGAGGAGAGAGCTGGGAGAGAGGGGCAGGAGGCACTGACACACCCCAGCCACTGCCATCCATCCATCCATGCACTCCTGAGCCTGGCTTTGGTTAGTCCCAGTCACTCCCATCCCTGCACTCCTGAGCCTGGTTTTGGCTCCGCTCTCGCTGGAAGTGCCACATGGCAGAAACAGGAGCTGAGCTGAAGGAACAGATGCTGCTCACAGAGAAAGTCAGATCCTCCAGTTAATCAACTTATTTCAGTCAAGGGTTTGCAGGGAATTCTCGAGACTGGAGGTGGAAGCTTAGAATTTCCCCTGGCAGAGGTGTCAGAGGTGAACTTTGCCAGCCAAGACCTGCCAGGAACTGCTTTCTGGCACTGTCCCATCACAGACATCTTCAGCCTGGCAGATGAATTGGTTAGCAAGAACTGCTTCAGTTCATATCAGAAATCACTTTTTCAGCTTATCTACAAAAAGCTTGGAAGTACCAAGTTTTGTTTTGTGCCACATGAAGCATTCCAATTCCCCCCCAAATTAAACCTTTTATTTCAAGGTATTCAGGACATGCAAAACCATCAAAGACTGACCCAACTGTGACATGGGCAGCACAGTAACCAACAGGCAGTAACCTGGCAAGGGCTGCAAAACACACCTCAAAGTGGGCCACTTTTTTTGGGTGGTTCACTCCTGCTGAGGTCTCCGAGCAGCACTGGGGGCAGCTGCAGCAGCAGACACTGTGAGGACAGAACTGCTGCCCCTCCAGTCTCACAGGTAAATTGTCTTGGAGCTTCTACAAATGGTCTCCAGCAGCAGGGACAGCTGAAGGAAAGGGAGGAGAGAGGTTTCAAATTCTCATCATACTCTTTTCCTGTTCCCGAAGTAGTCTGTGCATTAGCAGGGGCAGGTGCAGAAATGTCCATGATCCCAGAAATAATCTTACCTCGTTCCATACATGAAATGCTGCCCCAAGAATAAGCTCCCAAAGAGGAGAGATGTCATTTCATATTCAGGATGAAAACCAGACAGGTCTGTGTGTTCCTGAAAGGCCTGATGTGTATCAGCATCACTTCCATTTCCTGCAACTTGTTCCAACAAACGTTTATCCATTTGCCTGGGATATTCCAGCTGGAAACATAATTTGATGATTTTAAAAAGAAACATGAATCATGTTCCAGCTGTTTAAGAACAAGTCTCAGGATAACACACCATCCTGTCAATGTTAAAAAAATAGCCTGACAATCCTTTATGAAACAGGAGCTCTGTTCCTCTGCAGTTCAGACTCCAGATCTGGCAAGGACCAGCTACGGCCCAAGGTGCTTGGCTTTGATTAGTTGGTGAAATCTAAGTATTCTAAATTTAGGACTGAATTTAAATCCCCGAACAATCAGTTTGCATAAACTCAGTAGAGCTGATGTATTAAAATTTCCAGTCAATCCACAGATTACAAGGCTGGTCTTGACATTTCCTTGGTGTTACTTCCTGTGTTGTTTCTGAATTGCCTCCTTTATAAAGA